AAAAATATATTTTAAAAAAAGAAAAGAAAGACTTAAAGAAGTTGTATATTCATATATTGAGGCCCCTTGTATAATAAACATATTCAGTGTATTTATGCTCACCTGAGGCCCTTGTACTAGGTGTACCGGTTACTAATGCGAATTTTGTAATCAAAGAAAACATGATAATTTCAAGAGAAACATCAGAAGTGCTTTATTCAAAGTAATGTCTATTGCTAGCTACCCATTTCCTCCATCTTTCAGGTAATTTGTGGATACCATCCCAATAGAACTTTTCTTGTTTTGAGGCAAACCATTCAGAGACCCAATTTTTTATCTTCGTAAGTTTTGAAGTGCTGCCCAGAAAGTGCGTGTGCCATCGATTGAATTAAGTGGTAATCTGAAGGAGCAAGGTCTGGTGAATACTTCCCAGGCAAGATCTTTTAATGTGTCTTTAACTGGTTTTGAAGTGTGTGATGGTGCGTCATCATGGCCCATTCTGGTCATTTTACGATCAAAGCATGGTTCAAATTGATTATTTGTTGTCGGTAGCGAACAGTATTAATGGTTTTAGAAGCTCATAATGCACCACACCTTCCTGATCCCACCAAATGCAGAGCATTGTCTTCTTTCCAAAGTGATTTGGCCTTGTAGTCGATGTTGATGGTTGACCTGGATCAACCCATGATTTTGTGCATTTGGGAATCTCAAAATAAATCCACTTTTCATCGACAGTCACAATTGGATGCAAAAAAAACTTTCTTTCATGCCGTTGAAGCAACATTTTACTGATGACTTTTTTGGTTTTCCATTTGTTCAGTTGATGTAGCACCCATTTTCCTTCCTTTAAAATCTTTCCCATTGCTTGTAAACGATCGGAAATTGTTTGCTGAGCAACTTTTAATCTTTCTGCAAGTTGTTTTTGAGTTTGCCACCCATCTTCATCCAATAATGCTTGTAATTGTTGGTCTTCAAACTTTTTCAGTTGACCTGGATGTTCTTTGTCTTTCACATCAAAATCATCGCTTTTAAAGTGTTTAAACCAGCGTTCACAAGTATCTTAAGATGGAGCATGTTCACCATAAGCTTCCCGAAGTACATGATAACTTTCAGCAGCACTTTTCTTCAAAATAAAGTAATGAATTAAAACTTCCCACAAATGCTCTTTTTTTGGCACGAAATTCGACATTTTTAGGAGTAAAAATATCTATGATGTTAACACCTTCAGAAAATTTGACATGTGAAGCTTTGAAGCTTGTTGTCAATACAACAAAATAGCATACATATCAAATCGCATATATATCAACATATATGTAACTCCATCTATTGGAAAAATTCCGCACTATTAACTGGTAGAGGCACATTCCGAATTAACAGGTATCCGCATTATTAACCAGTACAGACATATTCCTCATAACAATGTAGGTAGGGAAGTCGGCAAGCCCGATCCATAACTTTGGGATAAGGATTGGCTCTAAAGGCTGGGTCAATCCCGCTGGGGCGAGAAGTGTGGCTGCTGTGGCTGGAGGAGGCCCTTCCCCTCCAGCTCTTCCACCCCCACGTTACTTTCTTCCCTTCCCTGGCAGGGGGTGGGGGGGTGAGGCGGGGTGGTGTCCTGGCAGGGCGGGCGAGGCCTTGGCAGTGGGGTCCCAGCGGCGCTAGGGGGAGGTCCCCCTTGGTGCCTGCGGGCCCACTGGCCGGACATGGGGGCAGCTGCTGTGGCAGCGACTCTGGACACGAGCAGGGCCCTTCCGTGGATCCCCCCAGGTGCGGCGGGCGACACAGCCACCCCCTGGGAGCCCGGCGGGCACGGGTCGCTCCCGGGGTGGTGGTGTTGGGCCCCCTCCTCGCCTCCCCGCGTGCGCGCCGGTCTCCCCGGCCGGGATGCCTGGGGGCTGCGGTTCTTAGAACCGGTGCGGACCCGGGGAATCCGATGGTTTAATTAAAACAAAGCATCGCGAAGGCCTGCTGCGGGTGTTGACGATGGGATTTGTTTCAGGTTATTGCATGTGACTGTCAGCTTTTATTAACAAGGGAAACATGTGCTTATTACATATTACATAGATTATAATCTTCAGAAGATTACAGTCTAGTATACTTGCTAAACAAACATAATTACTATGACTGAATGAAAATATTAGCAATGTGTAATTAATGTAGAGATGGGTTCATACTTAACTAATGGCCACAGACTTTCAGTTCGAGGGAACTAAGTTCCAGGACTTGCTTTCTCTTCAGAAAAGAAATGAGAGTAATTAAATGCATATGTGAGGTTCACAGATCTGGGCAATGGTCTTTGAAAGTACTAGGGCAGGGGTGGGCAAACTTTTTGACTCGAGGGCCACAATGGGTTCTTAAACTGGACCGGAGGGCCGGAACAAAAGCGTGGATGGAGTGTTTGTGTGAACTAATATAAATTCAAAGTAAACATCATTACATAAAAGGGTACAGTCTTTTTTTTTTTTTTTTTAGTTTTATTCATTTCAAATGGGCCGGATCCGGCCTGCGGGCTGGCCATAGTTTGCCCACGGCTGTACTAGGGTCACAGAAAATGGAGTAAGTAGGGTTCTTATCCTTCAATGAATAAACCTGGGATGATAGGCACTTTGGAGAGGAATTTGGGAGACAAATTGAGAGAAGTTCAGGTCTGATTGGCTAGAAAAGAAAGATCTTTGGAATTGGAACTAGGCTCTGATGATCACCTTTAGTAGTTAACTTTCCCCCCTGTTTTCTGTAGAGTTGGGCTGAGGGATTATTTTGAGTTGCTTTGAGAGTTTCAGTTGGACAAGCTGAACGTTAGAATTAAAGTAATTATTTTTCAGTCCTGGGAATAACCTTGGTGATAGCTATTCTAGACTCACAGTTGGAAATATGAAACAATGGAGGCCCAGAAAGCTTAAATGGCTTGCACAAGGACACACAGATAGTAAAGTGAAGGAATAGGCCAGAATGTCTACTTCACCACTGTATGCATATTGCCTAGAATGTCTGACACACAGCAGGAGCTCAATAAATATTTATTAAATGAATGAATAAATAATCCCCAGGCTTCTTATTACTTGTAGTATTATTCCCACTGCACCATAGAAACTATGACAGATTTAATAAAAAAACAAACAAAAAACGGGAAAAGAGGGTCTTTGAGCAACCAGGACAGGCCTGCACAATGTCAGAGGATAAAGGTCATTATAATACAGATAGATTTCCCTAGCAAAAGAACTTCCCCTTACATGATGTATTAGTTTGCTAGGGCTATCATAACAGCCACAGAATGGGTTGCTTAGCCAATAGAAATTTATTTTCTCACAATTCTGGAGGCCATAAGTCTAAGATCAAGGGGTTGGTAAGGTTGTTTTTTTTTTATTCTGAAGGTTATGAGGGAAGGATCTGTTCCAGGCCTCTGTCCTTGGCTTGTAGATGGCCATCTTCTTCCTGTGTCTTCATATCATCTTCCCTCTATCATGTGTGTCCAAATTTCCATTCATTCTGGGTTAGGGCCCACCTAATGATCTCATTTAAATAAAATATTTATTTAAATACTGCATCTCATATATTCTAAAGTACTGGGGGTTAAAACTTCAATATATAAACTTTTTTTGGGGGGGGGGACATAATTCAGCCCATAACACATAGAGATCAGTTTTGCCATCACAGAGCATTTTAAACCCTCAACCCCATTCTTTAGCAGCAGCCAAGGTAATGTTAATAGAGCTCCCAGTTTATATTTAAACAGTCAATTGCCCAACAGCCTCAAGCTTCTGCCCATGTATGTATATTAACTAGGTGAAACAGGAGGGTTAGCCTGCCACATTGCTAAAAGAAGAGCCACAGGGCATGGGCTGGCTGGCCCATTTTTTTTTTTTTAATGAGGTTATTATAACTGACGAAACAATACTTTCTTCTTTGAAAATGGCTCTTTCCTCATCTTGTAAAATCGGAAGGGCTTTGATTGTTTTTACCATAGTTATTATTGTTGAACTGTAGCTTAGATGATGAGTGTATATTTCAGGAGTATCCTGGGGCTCTGAAATAAATGCCTATTGAATGGACCTTTGAGAAAGCCAGGGAGGCTCTTCCATGGTTTCCAGGAAGATCCTTAAGTAAAGAAAAACATACACTGATCTTAGGGGAAGAATAGTTTTGTAGTTAGAAATCATTTGAAATAGGTGATGTTCCATGGTAGTGTGTCAGGGGATTTCCAGGTTCTGTCTTTGGTGGGCATCTGCTATTTGTGTTCAAGTGAGGGAGAGGCTGGTGCTCCTTGCAGAAAATGCCATCTTACTCCATCAGAATGATACTCAGAAGCAGAGCTTTCTTGTCTCTACAACTGACAAACATGATGAGTATCTATAACTTAGGATGCCTTGTCATCCATGACCCTCACAATTTGAAATACTATCCTGGATCAGGGCCTTCTTTGGACTTATTCCTCGTACCAAGGCTTGAATACTAAATATAGACTCCAGCAGATGGCACAGGATCATTAGATAATAATTTGATATTTTTGGCATTACTATTAAACACATTCTGACTGTCACTTAATAGACTGTGTTGCTTAAACCAACAGCTCATCTACAATTTCTATAATGCTGAGCTAAACTTTCAGGCCATTTCCTACTATCAGCTCATTAGACATCAAAGACAAAGAAGTTGCTGTATTCTTGAAATGAAATATTAACAAATATTGGGAGCACCATTATTTGCCATGAACAGTGAATCACTGCAAAAAACAAACAAACAAACAAAACAAAAAACAAGCACAGAAAGCTGTGAGGTCAAGAATAAAAACACTTGGGCAGAGAATCCTAGCTTTGGGGGCAGGAGGGAGGGGGCAGATAATATAGGGTTCACCCTAACAGGGAAAAATGGTTGGGGAAAACAAAGATTTTTTTTCCTCTTTCTTCTTTTTAAATTTAGACATAATTATAACCAAATACCCTTAAGTGAATGGCAGTTTTTTTCAGTTCCTAGACCACTAGATACTGAGCTATGATTTGATGCATAATTAAAACAGACAAAAATAATTGTTTGCTAAACATTTATTATTAATTTTTAATACAGTCCAATTATTTCAACAAGAATGTCTCCAAGGTAGTATCAATAGGCTTCAAAGGATTGTGGGCTGATGGGTCTTCTTAAGGGCCTGTAGGAACTTGCCCCTCTGTTTACAAATTTTTCCCTTCCCCTCCCCCAAAATGCTCTCTGTGATCTCTTATTGGCCCTAGAGGAAGATAGATGTCTACTGGATCCTAAGCAGGTTTCCTCTCAGGTAAAATTAATAAAGGTAGTAATATTCTGAAATTTATCAAAGATTGGGGGAAGAGAACTGAGGACTATAGATTACAGCAAAAACAGTTTTAAAATTTGAGTTCTGGAGTTTTTGAGAAACACCTTACTTTTGCTTTATGAGATTTTTAAGTGTTTATGGAGTCAAGTGTAAAAAAAAAATCAAATTCTAAGTTTTAAAGCTAAATGTTAATAGAGATTTCTTCCAATTATGGACTACTTTCACATAGAAGTCAGTTTCTGTAGAAGTCAGTTTCCCTACAGTAAAAATCCAGTTCCCTTTCACAATCTATGCTAATTATGCCCAAAAGATGAAAGGTTATTTGGAGGTAAATATAAATGTAATTTAGGCCCAAGAAGAAATACCAACTTGAACACTAAAAAATATCTAAATTCTCCACAAGATAGGTCAACCATTTAAAAAACAGACCCGATTCTTTTGACTCTCACATCTGATTATTCTTGTTACTTCTGAAAGCAGTAAATTAACATGTTCCCCAAACAAAACTCCTTAAACAAATTAAATGACTTGTTTTTAAAAATGCACACCACATCTGCACCAAAGAGCAAAGACATCCTGCAGTAAAGACTTACTTGAGGAAGACGAAAAGGTAGAAGTACAAAGTACATGAAATGAGTATAGTTTAAGATTTTGGAAAAAAAGACATTCTAACATAACAGAGTTTTCCCACAACCAAAAACATTTGAGTCATCTGGTACCCAGTGTTTCCCATTTTCCTTTGCTGAAGCTTTGGCAAGTGTCGGGATATGGCGGCATTTCTTAAGGACGGTATTGGGACCTCTGCTCTTGGATGTACTCATAGAGAGGGCTGGAGCGCACCGGGACACCGGCAAACGGACGCTTGCCAGACTCCAGAATCTGCTGCCGGCCCTTATCTTTTTCCTCCCAGCCTCGGCCGCGCCTCTGCGCCTCTTCCAGCTGGCGGAGCTGCTCTTCTTCCCGGAATTTCCTCTCCCGCTCCTGCCGGCGCCTCAGTTCTTGCTCCTCCCGCAGCTGCTGCTCTTCTTGGCGACGTAGTAGCTGTTCTTCCTGTTCCCGGAGGAGCTGTTGATCTTCAAGGAACTTTCTGTCGCGTTCCCGGCGAAGCTGTTCCTGGCCTTCCCGGCGGCGCAGCTGCTGTTCCTCCTCGCGGAGCTTTCTGTCGCGCTCTTGGCGAAGCTCTTGTTCGAGTTCCCGGCGGCGCAGCTGCTGTTCTTCCCGTTGCTTGAGGAGCTGTTCCTCCGCTCGGAGCTTTCTGTCGCGCTCCTGGCGGCGCAGCTGCTGTTCCTCTTGGCGAAGCTCTTGCTCGAGCTCCTGGCGGCGCAGCTGCTGTTCCTCCTCACGGAGTTTTCTGTCGCGCTCCCGGCGGCGCAGCTGCTGTTCTTCCTGTTCCTTGAGGAGCTGTTCCTCCGCTCGGAGCTTTCTCTCGCGCTCCTGGCGGCGCAGCTGCTGTTCTTCCCGTTCCTTGAGGAGCTGTTCCTCCGCTCGGAGCTTTCTGTCGCGCTCCTGGCGGCGCAGCTGCTGTTCCTCCTGGCGAAGCTCTTGCTCGAGCTCTTGGCGGCGCAGCTGCTGTTCTTCCGGTTCCTGGAGGAGCTGTTCCTCCTCACGGAGTTTTCTGTCGCGCGCCTGGCGGCGCAGCTGCTGTTCCTCCTGGCGAAGCTCTTGCTCGAGTTCCTGGCGGCGCAGCTGCTGTTCCTCCTCACGGAGTTTTCTGTCGCGCTCCTGGCGGCGCAGCTGCTGTTCCTCCTGGCGAAGCTCTTGCTCGAGTTCCTGGCGGCGCAGCTGCTGTTCCTCCTCGCGGAGCTTTCTGTCGCGTTCCTGGCGGCTCAGCTGCTGTTCCTCCTGGCGAAGCTCTTGCTCGAGCTCTTGGCGGCGCAGCTGCTGTTCCTCCTCGCGGAGTTTTCTGTCGCGCTCCTGGCGGCGCAGCTGCTGTTCTTCCCGTTCCTGGAGGAGCTGTTCCTCCTCACGGAACTTTCTCTCTTCTTCCTGAAGGCGTCTTTTCTCCTCTCTTTCCTCCTTCAGCAGCTGCTCTTTCTCCCGCTGCAGCTGCTCCTCCTCGCGCTGCAGCTGCTCACGTAGAGCAGGTTTGGAGTACAGTGCGTGGCGGCGCCTCTGGCTTTCCTCTTCTAGTTGCCACCTCCATTTTTGGTCGCGGAGCAGCTCCTCCTGGCGCCGCTCCTCCTCCTGCTCGAGGAATTGCCGCTCCCGCTTCCTCTCGAATCCCTGTAGGCGGGGATCCTCCTCCTCCTGGCGCAGCCGCCTCTCACGTTGCTGTCGGAGGAGCTGGGAGTCCTCCTCCCGCTCCCGCAGCCGCTGCTCGCGCTCCTGCAGCCGCCTCTCCTCCTCTTCCTCCTGCTCTTGGCGGCGCCTCAGTGGCCCCTGCCTGCGGGGCCTGCGGGGCCTCGAGTAGACCTTGCTCTGTCGGGCTTCGGCCTCGCTTTCCAGCTGCCGCTGCCACCGCAGGGCACGGCTCTCGCCCAGCTCACGGGCCTCTTCTTGCAGTGCCTCCTCCTCAGCCAACTCCTGCTCCCGCCTCAGCTGCTGCTCTCGCCGCTCCTCCTGCTCGCGCCTCAGCTGCTCAAAGAGCGGCTCCTGCTCGCGCCTGAGCCTCTGTTCCAAACGCGGTTCCCGCTCGCGCCTCAGCAGCTGCTCTCGCCTCTCTTCTTGCTCCCGCCGCAGCTTTTCCAAGCGCGGTTCCTGCTCGCGCCTGAGCTCCTGCTCGCGCCTCAGCAGCTGCTCTCGCCTCTCTTCTTGCTCCCGCCTCAGCTTCTGTTCCAAACGCGGTTCCTGCTCGCGCCTGAGCTCCTGCTCTCGCCTCTCTTCCTGCTCCCGCCGCAGCTTTTCCAAGCGCGGTTCCTGCTCGCGCCTCAGCAGCTGCTCTCGCCTCTCTTCCTGCTCCCGCCTCAGCTTCTGTTCCAAGCGCGGTTCCTGCTCGCGCCTGAGCTCCTGCTCTCGCCTCTCTTCCTGCTCCCGCCTCAGCTTCTGTTCCAAGCGCGGTTCCTGCTCCCGCCTGAGCTCCTGCTCTCGCCTCTCTTCCTGCTCCCGCCGCAGCTTCTTTTCCAGGCGCGGTTCCTGCTCTCGCCTCAGCTCCTGCTCCCGCCTCTCTTCCTGCTCTCGCCTCAGCTCCTGCTCGCGCCTCAGCTGCTCCAAGAGCGGCTCCTGCTCGCGCCTGAGCTCCTGCTCTCGCCTCTCTTCCTGCTCCCGCCTCAGCTTCTGTTCCAAGCGCGGTTCCTGCTCTCGCCTCAGCAGTTGCTCTCGCCTGAGCTCCTGCTCTCGCCTCTCTTCTTGCTCGAGCCTCAGCTCCTGCTCCCGCCTGAGCTCCTGCTCTCGCCTCTCTTCTTGCTCCCGCCGCAGCTTCTTTTCCAAGCGCGGTTCCTGCTCGAGCCTCTCTTCCTGCTCGAGCCTCAGCTCCTGCTCCCGCCTCTCTTCCTGCTCGAGCCTCAGCTCCTGCTCCCGCCTCAGCTCCTGCTCGCGCCTCTCCTGCTCCCGCCTGAGCTCCTGCTCGCGCCTCTCTTCCTGCTCCCGCCTCAGCTTCTGTTCCAAGCGCGGTTCCTGCTCGCGCCTCAGCTCCTGCTCCAAGGGCTCCTGGCGCCCGCGCCTAAGCCTCTGCAGCTGCTCTTCCACCTCTTCCTTCTCCTCCTCCAGGAGCTCCCTCAGCTCCTGCCGTTCCCGCCGGGGTAGCTGCTCCTCTTCCTGGAGCTCCCGCAGTTTCTCCTCCAGGCGCTGGCGCTCGCGCTCCAGCTCTCGCTGCTCCCGCCTTTCTCGCCCCTTGCGCTCCTGCAGCTCCTCTTCCTCCTGGCGGCGCACTTCCTGCTCTCGCCTTTGCAGCCGCTGCTCTCGCCTCTCTAGCTTCTCCCTCTGCTCCTCTTCCTCAGCGAGCTCCCTCTCTAGTTCCTGCCTCTTCTGCCAGCGTTCTTCTTCCAACTCTCTGTCCCGGGGATCAAACCTCCTTCGGTCTTCTTGCCTGCGATCGAGTAACGGGGCCCCCTTTCCCTCGCACGGGGCTTCCTCCTCCAGCCCGGACGCCTCGGCCAGAGCGTAGTAACAAGCTTGAGCCACTTTGAAAATGAACAGGAGGTACTCGTTGAAATCTACCAGCCCGTTACAGTCGCGATCCAGAAGTTCCAGGATCAAATCTACCGTTTCAGGATCATGTGGTCGCTATGAAAAAAAAGATGAAAACAAAAGTTTTTTTTTTTAATGTACCATTTACAGCTAGTAAACGTTCTCACTCAATATGCATTTTACGACATGCAGACACTCAAAAGACATAAGAGCAATTAGGAAAACCCCAGGGTGTATGGTGAAGTTTTGTTGTCTTCATGTAAAAATGTGAATACCTCATTTTATAGCATACATTTGTTGGAAGTGTTTGCATCTTGTAATTTAATGCTGATTAAAAGAACACAAGTTCTCTTTAGCTGGGTGAATAAGAATGAACTTATTCTCAACTGAGAGAAATAAATGGGACTTTATGAAGATGTGAAACAGCCATTTCTGTCTGAAATAGCTAGTTCCTTTGATTTGACTTTTAGTCTATGTTTGAAAAGAGAACAAAACATTTATGGTAACACCATTTTACTAGTGAACAATATGAATTTAATTACTGAAATTTGCAAGTAATTTTAAATTCCTTCCAAGTCTAGTTTGATCTAACATCTTTGGTGATAACCTCCCATGACCACCAGTTCATCCACATTGCCATTGCCATCGAGTATATGAAATAATTGCTAGTAACTTCTTTAGTACTCAGACTACAATAACAATTAAGTATCTTCAGGCTCAAAAATGAATGGGAATGTAGTGTAGAGCTATCATGGTGTAAAATGAATATAAAGTCACCATTCCTTGCTCTGGTTGCTCTTGAGAAGGAAGTTCATAACCCCAAATGAATAAAGAAATGTCCTTTTCATATTTCTTACCCGAAGAATAGCTCCAAATTCCCTTTCAAGGAGGTTCTTCAGGTCTTTTTTGCATAGTGCTGCCCCATCACAATCATGTGAGGCATATTGATTGAAAACTTCAGTGATATCGAAGATGCTTCTCAGAAGTGCAGACATTTTTTTCCTTTCTTCAGTTCAAGTAAACCTAAAACAATAAAATAGGATCCAGAATCAAACTCTATTTCTGATCTTTGGGAGGTTTTAGCCCCACTGTTTTGGGCAGATCCTTAAATAATTTGACTTTACAATAGTAGTTATTTTCAACCTGGACTTTCAAAGCATTTTATTTTTTAATATTGTACAGCTCTTAGAAAAGGGAAGAGAGATCCTGAGAAACTTCAAGCCTGGGAATTATCTGCAGACTATCCTGTAGTCAGCTCTCAGATTGTTCACACAATCTGAATTATCCATCTCTTTTCCTCTTCTCTCTTTCTCCTTCTTAATATATTTCAGATCAGACAGTGTAGAGTATAATGTAGAAATTTAAATTTGATATGTTGCTACTCATAGCATCTGCCTCTAAAACTGAACAAAGAGGGTAGGTGAAAGCCAAAAGGTGAAGGAAGATCTGAAAGTATCTTAAAGTGAATAGAAGCCACATACACCTAGGTGTGGAGCAAAACATTTAGTGGCAACTAGAACATTAAAAAGGGAATGTGGATTATTCCCCAACATTATAGCCCATAAGAGATCTAGGAATATAATTCACAAGTCAGCAGTTTTAAGATTAAGCACTACTTCTCCATAGTTAAAGGTGGCATTGCAATATTCAGATAAACCAATGCAGAAAACAAAGAGTACATTTTATCTGCCTTAACTAAGATATATCACAGATATTCAATTATTGAAAGCTTCTGAGAGGTACTTCCTGACTGGCTACCAGGGTCGATGGGTCAAATTGAACCTGGACAAATTTGAATAACATTGGTTTTATTGTTAGTTTTGTTAAACCCAAATAAACCCTTTGAATCTTGGCATTATAAAAAATGGAACTTAGCCAAGAGCAGATCAATGTTAAAAAAAAAAAAATACATGGGAGGTTTCACTGACTGGGTGAGAATAGTGGTTCATCTAGCTGGCTTCTTTAGTTACTACTCAACTTGAAATACTGCAGATACCACAATTACATGAAGATGGCCCATATTGGGCAGAACCAATATAAAAAGAGAACCAAGAGTTGGTAAACTTTGGAGATAGCAGTTTTTAGAAAGATGAACCCCATCAGAGTCACACATAACTTATCTTCCAACCCCTGACATGCAAACATACTTAGAGAGTTCAGAGCCTTGGGAGGAGACCATGTCTCTATTTGAGTAATGGCTCCAACCATAAGAAGATGGCATGGAATTAGACATCTCTGTAAGATACTGATGTCTTCTGACACAATAGACTCCCCCCATACTCCCCCTCCTGCCAACATCTACAACAACTGGAAAATGAAGCAACATACAGAAGAACATGATCCCATTGAATGGGACTTACCCACTTCACGAGAGGGAGAAGTCGAGTGCTCGCTGACACCACTGGCAAGTGTACTGGGCAGCTGGTAGCTGGGTCTTTTATAGGGGTTCTAATTGTGCCCTGAAGACCTACTTGGAAAGGAGACACCCACTCTGTGGGATGGCCTGATTCATTCCTAACCAAGCCCAGCTCCACCTCTGTCTCCACAAATGGTTTGTTTATCTCACTATTTGCTCACGTACCTATTTGGCATGAGGTTCACAGACCTTGCCTCCTGACAGGGTACTGGCCCCACCTAACATGAAAGGATAGAATGTTTGGCAGAATCTCTAATTTTTTTAAATTGTTAAAATGAAATAAAACAAAAATTAATGTTCAGAATCTTGATTAATTATGATTTTATTACAAAGTAGTAACTTCTAAGCCATTTACTATATAAAAAAATCTAACTTATAGGCTGGGGTCAAACAGAAACTTTGACATAAACTAATGAGAACTAGTTAATTTCTCTCTGGGATATGACAGTCCACAGGGAGCTGCATATAGCTCTGTCTGAAACAATTCTAGGACAATGAAAGGGTATAAGGAATTGATTTTAGTTTCTTCTCTAAAATGCAAATGGGGAAAAATTGCACTTATATTCTTGGGTCTTATAATGATTTTCCTATAGTTGAGGATTGTCTTCTTAGTAAACAATTTTGGGTGTTAGTTTAAAAATGTTTCATTAAATTACTTATAAGAGAATTTGAAATCTGTCAAATTTCTTTCTTAGGGATGTTACATCTAAATGAAGTTTGCTCTTTTCTCATTAACATATTGATGCTCCTGGAGAAAAAGAGCTGGTGTAATCTGTTTTTTTTTTTTAGATATAATCATCCTGCTCAGCTCAAGTCACTAATGATTATGACACCGAAACACTTGACTCTGCTTCTCCTGGAAGTGCATTAAGGTAATCGGTCACTCTAGCCCATTATGTCTGCCGGGGCTTTCTCAACCCTGGAGATCATATGCAAACCCCACTGCTGTTTTATTGTAAGGAACTGGATTTTATCCTTGGTTGTCAGTGACTCCCACCCTTACATTTCAGACTATATGAAACTTTGGTTCAAAATACGTTTATGGAGACTATTAAATGATTCAGTGGCTTTTGGCATTTTGGTCTCCTCCTTTGTCCAACAAAGGCAAGTAAATTTTGAGGAGACTCTGTAGGGTCCTTCAATGGAATGTAATTTGGAGCCTAAATCTTGATGACTCTTCCTTTATGTGCAGATTGGTCCAAATGATGATGGAATTGAATTCTATTTGACTCCTTGTTTGCTGCCCTCCCAGAGGTGGGGAGAGAAGAAAGTGGAAATGATAGGTGATGGGAAGGCAACTGTTAGCCTGGTTCAATTCTGTGATCTAGGGTTTTTCCTAGAACTGTCACTTTTCTTGAGATCAGTTAGCAAACTTGATGTAGCAGCTCCTTAGTGAAGAGTAAAGATTTCTCTTCCCCCTTCTACCTTCTATTTTGGGTTTTATTCAGTTATTTTCATCTTCGAATTCTAGGATAGAACTATCATGAGCACTGCAATCACAAATCACCATGAAACCTCTATCTCTCACGGAGGATATGCGCCTTAAAAAAACAAAAATCCTCAGAGAAACATCGATATGAGGAGACACATCATTTGGTTGCCTCCCACCTGTGCCCTACCTGGGGCTAGGAATCAAACCTGGCACCCTTTGGTGCATGGGCCATCACTCTAACCACTGAACACCATCATCCAGGGTGCATATGAGCCTTTGTTATGAGTGTCCTCCAAGGAATTCTCTGGACAAACCCTGCCTGTGTCTGGTTCTCTTTTTATCCACCTGTGTGCAGTCTGTGAGGAACCTTAGCCCAGGTGGTGGGATGCATTTGTGTGATTCCATTACCTTACTATAGTCAAAGACTCAAAATAGTCAAAAGAGGACCAGACATTCATTAGCTTCTATGGGAAAAAAGGGAAAATATTAATCATTCCAAAATCATGTTTGAGCAAGCAAATAAAATATAGAAGCAAACCCAAAACGGAAATGCTTCCAAACAGCCTTAAGAAAATGCCCACATCCTCCACCAAAAACAAAACAAAACAGAAGCAGAAGCAGAAGCAGAAGAAGAAGAAAAGAAGAAGAAGAAAATGGCCGAAATTGCATTCACCGTGACAAAAACCTCCTTCCCCACTCTGAATGAAGCTAGATCTTAAATCCAGTGATGGCTCTCTTATCTATTCTCATTTAAAGTCAGGATATCACAAGGAAAGATATTAAAAAACCTGAACTAACCTAAGAGAATTAGCCTGTCTGCCTTGCTGCTCTTGGTCCAACATCAGAAAGATTGTAAGTAGATTCAAATGCTAAAATTCTAAAGTCAGGTTTGATATTCTTCTAATGAAGTGGCCCTTGTTGCTACATAATGCTCTTTTATTTAACACAGTACCATTATTTAAAAATATAATTTTTAAGTGATATTTAAAACGTCATGCCCTGGGACACCACCTCTGCCCATCCAAAACCAGAGAATGTAGAAAATAATCAAGTACTGACATTGGTTCAGTCCATTTTTTTGAAAGACCAACTGAGAATCCCTGCAATGAGGCAGTGTCCACTCATTGTGGTTCATCAAAAAAGAATGGTGTTTGTATAACCTGAGCATCTTAATCTTCTTTATAGACAAAAGGCCTCATTATCTTTCTTTTATAAGACTGGAGACTGAGGCACTGAAAGGTCAGAAAACGTTTCTGACTGGCCCAGGAATGACCCATGTACTCCTGCTCCATTATGTAAGAATATCCTTCTTTATCAAGGATTAATGCCAGTGGGCTCAGAGCATAGCTACAGTATTGTACTGATACTTGGCTTTGAGATGTGATCTCTTTATTACAGAAGAATTGAAAAGAGAAAATAAAATTTATATAATTGATTCCTGAAGCCTCATCCATGCTTGAAATCTCTGGGTGTGGAGCTCTGCTGGGTTAACAAATAGAACTAACAAAGTACCAGGTTTTCCTGGTCTTCAACTCTTTCAAAGGCTCTTTTCCCATTTTCTCCGGTCAGAATCCGGAAAAAGTAGATAATAGACTTGACATTCTGCGGTATTTGACCAGGATCAAACCCTGTTTTGGCCTTATTGTGAAAATTTAGATAAAGCAGAGAAGGTGCCAGTGTCGTTCTCAGCCTAATGGGCTTTTCCAGAGCCCACTACGGGCCATGACATGGAACTCTGGGAAAATGTCCAAGTGGCATGACTTTAAGATGGCTTTATAAAAAGTAAGATTCTTTGGTGAGCTCTCGAAATACCTTTCTAATGAAGACCTTTTCTTTAAAATTATGTGTTAAACCTTTCAAGTTTTTCTATTATTTCTTCTTATTCATTGACCCATACCCTGGAACACTACCTCTGCCCATCCAAAATCTGTATTTTCTCTGAGGCCCCATGCAAATTCCATCTTCCCTCCCAGCCCTTCCTTGACCTTTCCATATAACAATCTTCCAATTAAAAAAATTTCTTCCCACAGCATGCATAGTCAGCATCATACAACCCAATACTAGTTAGTGTGTAATTTCCATATTTTCCTCTAATTTAATGGGTGCTTGCTCTGTCTTCTTGATTAGGTTTTAAGTTCCTTAGAGGC